TGTTTCTTTCATTATATTGTTTTAACCACAGGCTTCCTCTGCCTTAAATTTCACATCTCTGTCTCCTGAGATATGGAGGGTAAAGGGGAACCATCACTACAACAGTTGCAATATTCTCATTAATATCTAAGACCCAGTTTGCCCCTGAGATGCAGCAATTGCTTGATCAGCTTCTTCAAGGTTTATTTCTTCAGTTTTAGATTTTAGTTCTGTTAAAGTGAGTTACTGAAATTCACTAGAGATGGTCAGTACAAACCACTTTTTACTTTGCCTTCTTTCTTAAAACTGTTACCTTTTCATTCCCTCCAGTAGCAATAGATAATTGATTGTTTTATTTCACCATCTTAACTCTCAGTTGTCTCTGCTTCAAACTCTGTTTTCAGTATATTCAATCTCAGAACATTTTCTTGGTGGTGGATATCAAAATCAAGATGTGAATAGTTACCCATAGTATGTATGGAATACAAATGGATGTTTTAGAAGAACATTGCAAACTTTTCGTAAATTATTTTATCTTTAGGATTTCGGTAGTTTCTTTCTAAATTTGCAAAAAAAAAAAAAAAAAAAGTCTCCCTTACAGCAATTTCATTTACTGTGGTGTCTGAAAAAATTTAAAAAGGTCTAAGAAACTGTTTGCGTCTGCTTACACTGTAAGCATTGGAAGTTCTTCATCATAGCCACATGCAAACAACAACACACGCAAATTAAGTAGAATAAAAAAAGACATTAAATATATTTTAGAGTTTTTCGTTAATTTTGTAAAAGTCTTTGAGTCTACTGTGGTGTTTTGAACCATGACTTCTTGATATGGTTATAAGGAGGCCCCTCGTTTTTTGCAGTGCGTGAGCCTCATTCTGAATGTGGATTCTGTTTATAACAGGATTACGAGGGTAGTCGGTGCTCCTACAATGGGAAACTTTTTGCATTATGAAAGCAGCATATACCGATTTTTTAAATAGTAATCATAACGTGAAGAGAAGAGGAAAGATAGGAAGATTATTACTGTGCATCAGTACGTTTATACATGCATACCTCGAAGATATTGCGGGTTGGGTCCCAGACCACTGCAATAAAGTAAATATTGCAATAAAGCGAGTCACAATTTTTTTTTGGTTTTCTGGTGCATATAAAAGTTATGCTTGCACTATATTGTAGTCTGTAATATAAGTATACAATAGCATTATGTCTTTAAAAAAGTACACACCTTAACTACAAAATACTTTATTGATAAAAAATGCTATGACCTGAGCCTGTTGGAAAAATGGTGCCCATAGATTCGATCAATGTAGGATTTCCACAAACCTTCAGTCTGTAAAATCACAATTATCTGTGAAGTACAATAAAGCAAGGTATGCCTGTACATTATTTACTCCTTACGAAAAAGAAATTGTTAACCTGTTTTGATGATAAAGAAAAGTTATTAAATCAAAGTGATTATCAAAGTTATTAAACTCTAGCACAACTTAGTGGCCGAGCTAGAATTCACACCAGGGTCTGTGTAACTCTGAATCTCATGTTCTCGCCCCAAACACTAGCTCTGGTGGGATTTGAAAATGAGAGGCGGCGTGGTAAGAAAACCTCTCCAAGGAAGTGCCCTTTTTTCATACAAGGCATGAGAGAGCTGGTTGTTTCTAGAGATCTGAGGCCAGGGAGGCCTTGGCTAGTGGCATCCATTGAGAGTCACACAAATGTCTCTATTGAATGTGGTCAAGGCTTTCGGGGAGGCTGTGACACAGAGAGCCTCTGGTGATTGGATTACAACTTGAGAATCACTACAGACCAAGCCTTGTGCCTTTCTGTTTTGAATGCTTATTTAGCTTTCCTATAGTTATTCTCGGGGATGACTAAAAGGCTGCCATCCTCATTTGGTATGTCAAAAGAGAAATGAGCTATGTGCTCATTTAATCAAGAAATCAAACTTACTTGAAGCAGAAAATTGGCATCTCATATAATTTATTTAGTACATTTTCGTACAATAAAGTTTATTGATAGCAGATTATAAATATGTAGGAAACTGCTGCTAAAAGTATCACTGGCTTTCAAAACTAATCACAAATCTGTACCATTAGAAATTAACTGAATATTTCTGAAAATATGGGTCAGGGAATAAAATAATTAACAATACAATATTTATTATATAGAAAATAATCTTACTTTCTATGTCACCTTCAGCAAAGCCATGCTCAAAAAGCAGTGCCTGCAACACAGATGGTACATAGCCTGTCGAAGTTTTACTCAAACTGAAAAACACAGTTGGTCTAAGATTTTGGTCACTGAATGTGATTAGCTTGAGTACTCCCTAAAGGGATGGCAGAGTTGGTCTTATTTTATACCTAAAAGGTATCTTACTTTTTACTAACTTAGTTACATTTTATTTTAGTTCAGTAGATTCCATCCTCACTAATTGAAGAAACCAAATCCTGCATTTGTCACTGTTAACATCATAAGTGTGTTTATAACAATTGTGACAACAAAATATTGATGGTGTGTTTATACAGGCATTGTGTAGGAAAATTACATTGTCCTCAGAAAACTTGAATCGCACCCCATCTTTTTAGAAAGTTTTTATTTCTTTGTCGCCATACAAGGGAAAAATCTGTTCAGCTCACTGAGTTGTTGATTCTACATCAATAGTTGAAATGTGTGCTCTAATGCACTTTCTTTGATCTCTCATTTGACTATTTATCAAAGTTGATTACAGTTTGAATACATGTATCCCCTTAGCTTCAAAATCATGTAAAACTAATGGATAGTGGAACATTTTAAAGTATTCTTTGCTATTCCAATTTGGTTTTGTGATTATAATATAGCTATTAGATTTGGTAAAGGGGTCTGTTTCTATGTTTTGTTCCTTTGGTAAAAATCAGTCTTCTGCCACTTTGGATTAAAGTGTGTTTTTCAGCCAAACTTGCTCATGCAATGAAGCAAGAGCTGTTTTATTACACATCAAAAGGAACCATTATGAAAAAGTGAAACTCATTTCATTTCACTCACCACAATTTAGGGGTTTATGCTTTTAGAAAAGCTTTAAGTATATGCTTTCTGTATCTGAATATAACATTGAACCGTAATAAAATAGCAGTTGATATGTTCAGTTAAACATAATTATGTGTTACGTCGCTTTAAGACCTGAAAGAGCTTGAAGTCCAACATTTTTGAAGAATATTTATTTAGTCTCTGTAAATTATTGGGGTCACTGTGCTAAATATTTTATATGTTAACAAATTAATCTATTTGCCTAATATGACATAACTAATTTTAGTGGCATAATCAGGAATAGATCTCTGGCATTTCATTCTAGTGTGCTTTAAATTTCATAAACTTAATTCCTCTAAAACATTCCAGTTATTTTCTTCCAATCCTAGTCTTAATCTCTGTATTTTATAAAAGAAGGAAAAAAGACATGCAAGGGCAATTGGAAGAATGTTCTTTCTGAAAATGGTATGCATTGTGGCGCTTTGTTGTTTCCCTTAAGCAAATGGTATGTGGCTCTAGAATTGCTTCTGAGAGCAAACCATTTTCATATAAGGCATCCCAGAGAAGATTTTTTAAGATAATGTGTTCATGTTGGAGCCTTCTCAAAGTAAAATCATGGAACATTTATCCTATTTTTTAATGTGGCTTATGATTGCCCTGTAAGTTTGTATAAACAACCTGAAGGACAAAAAGGGAAAGGGAGAAAACCCTCTGCTGCCAGCTGAATTGGTGTCTTTTAAATTCTTATAATCCTGGCAAAGAGTGGCAGCATGACACTTGATTATGGCTTTGTAGATACTGTACAGACCTTCAAATAAACGAACAAACGCTGTCTTGAGGTTGTAAAACATTAACCAGCCCAAGCTGTACTATTGTGTTTTAAGTAGTGAGAGAGACACTTTGACAATTCCCAAGTGACCTTGGGTTTGATTTCATGCACAGTTCCAATTTTTATAATTAATTTCCTCTGCTCTACTTTGTCTTCTAATTTCTTCAAATGGCCACAAGTGCAACACAAAAGAGAACTGATTATAAAAAGTTGACTCCTTTCAACTAGTCCCAGGTTGCTTTTGTTTTTGTTTTGTTTGGTTTACTTTGTGTTTTATAGCCTAAGTGGTTTTCAAAATGTGTGTCACAAACCATTAGTGAAGCATGAAATCAATTTAGTAGATCAAAGTTAACATTTTAAAATCTAATAGACTAGACTAAAAATATTCACATCATAAGAAATGAGTATTTTTGAAACTTTATTTTTGTGTCTAAAATATTTATGTATAAATGTGTGTGTGGAAGGAAATACATAAATTCCTAGAATGCTTACTCATCAAAACTGTGAAAGGTCACTTCATGTGATGAGTTCCTGTATTATTTTAAATAATTTGAAAACAGTGATATAATTTCCCAGATTTGGTCTTTGGGTTTGTGTCAAGCTACTATTATTTCGTTTTAGAGAAAAATGATAGCAGATAAATGGGAACACGATAACCTCCCCACTTTTAGTTAATAGAAAATGTTAGTATTTTATCTTCTATTTCTGTAGAAATAATCTTGGGATCTGTTCCACTTGTAGTCTGGTGTGGAGATCACTAAGAAAGATCACATGCCATGTCTATGCAGTTTCTTTAACTTGGTTTTTATACCTTTACTTGAGAATTATTTTCAACTAATTATCAGCATTTAATTTTTAACAAACACAATAGACGTATATATGAAATTAGCTAGTGTTTTCTTCCTCAGGTTAATGTGACTGACTTAAAGAAATTACTTAGAGAAAAAAGAAATTACTTAAAATCTAAAAATTTTAGTTGGTTATATATTTTATCTGTGTCAATAAAATAGTATTAACTTAATGAAAATTAAATATAATCTAATTATATCTATTCATAGATTTAAAATAAACTTCTAGTTGGAGTGCATTAGAATTAATAATAAATTAAAATATATTTTATTTGAATCATATCTGCTCGAGTTAGTATAATTATTTATCATTTATCTTTTGTCATTTTCTTTTCTTGCATTTTCAGCTAAAATTGACCAAGAAGCAGAGGAAAACTCACTGACAGAGACTCATAAATGGTGAGAAATTAAGTACTTTCCTTTAATATAATGTTTCTCTTCAGAATAGGCTCATAAAATGCTTAATATGTTTTATCTCAAGGAACCAATCATTAGCTCAATTTTTATTTTCAAGCATAAAAAAAGAAACTAATAAATAGTGTACTTTAATTTCACATTGAACTTCTAAATTTTATTTTTGTAAGTCCGAATGATGTATAATTTTGTTAAGCACCAATTATTTTAAATAGCTTAGCCCTCACTTTTGAAGAGGATTTAGGACTGTGGAAATAAGAGAAAAAGGAAGATAGCAGGAATCTGAAGAAAAAAGGGTGAGGAGTTTGGTTACAGGGAACTATTGCATTTCCACATTCAAAAGTAGAATCCGGGTAGAAAGCCATGAGCTTCCCTCGCATACACCTTCACTTCCAGAATGGAGATTTGCAGTCATAGCTGAGCATAGGAAAGCATCCTAATCAAAGGAATTTTCTTGTGAGGTACTGTTTTTATCTCAGTATTACTATTACAGCTCAAGACATTTTAGTTTTATAGAGACTCAGTGACAAATTGGGGACAAATGTATGTGCTTTGATTTTTAGAACTGTTATGGAGTCATTTACAAATAATTGATGCTGAGTTGGGCTATGCATGTCTTGAGGATTATACAGTGACCGAATACCCTTTTCTGTATCAAAAGAGAGGTTTTCCAAATGTTTTGATGCAATATAGGATTCCATATGTTCACCACGGTGGCTGTGAAATAGGGCAGCCCCGTGTGGTGGACAGGGCCCCAAGAGCACCGTTCCAGACTGCAGCGGTGTAAGCCACATAAAGGGCCTGGGCCACAGCTTCCTCATTTCTAGATGGATAGAACCTCATCCTTCCTTCCATCTTCCAGCGTTGTAGGAATGTATTACTTTGTTCTTCGCAATATGCAGTTTACTCGAGTGTGGCCAGTGAGCAGCCTTACTAGGAAAGCAAGTATACGCATGTGAAAATGTTTTGTAAACTGCACAAACTCATGTCATCAGCTTTCTTTGAAAGGAATTATACTCATTTGTCTTTATGTTTGAGTACTTTTTTTTTTTTTAAAAAAGCCTTGTCTCTTAATCCATGTAAAATGAATGTGTTGCTTTTATCAAGAAACTAGACTTTTATATACTAGAATATTATGTTTTATCAATTACTTTATGATTTCCTAACTAAATAAATAGATTCAAACAAACAATGGCTATTTGGTATATTTTTTAAATCAAATGAGACCTTTTTCATATTCCAGGTGTTTTATGTGCTAATTTTGTCTCTTTACTCATACATTTTTGCTATTAATCTCAGAAGTGGGACTTTGAGCTCCTGTTTCACATAAACAAAAATATATAGCTTTTGGATAAATAGTTTCACTGAACTCTTCAATTCTCACAGAAAATAAGATGACTGAGCAGATGAGTCTTGAACCATACCCAAAACCCAAATACAAACTGGATGAACATATCCTCATCTTCAGATGATTTCATTGAGCAAGCCAAACTATCATATTGTATTACAAGACAGATTTCAGCAGAATCTTGTTAAGGTTGCCTGCATCCCACAATGTGTTTATTTCAGCTTCAGCTTTTATTTTATTTTTAATTAGCATACATGGCTTTCTTCAATTGTGGAAAAATATCATCAGACCAAATGTGATTGTTTTTATTTTCCCACAGATTTACTCAGTGTCTGTGTCAGCTCAGAAGCAGAGAATGTAGAAATTCTGTATTTTTCTAATAGCCATTTCATTATATCTAAACTTAAAGAATAACAAAGCTGTGACTTATAAAATTGCATTCTGACAACCAGAGATTCTTATCTATAAATTATGGCTAACTTCACATTTTTCTTAGAATTTCTTCTTCTATTTCTTTCCTTAAATTTCACAGGTAAAAACGACATTTTATAGTAAAACTGATCTTTGAGATAGAAAAAGAACAAATTTAACTTTGGCATCAATAAAGCAGATAGAAATGACTAAAATTAAAATTTGAATTATCTAATGTAATAGTTTCAATATAAGTTATCTTTCTAAGTTAATTTAGGTGATGTTTTAGGTAAAGGAAATCAGACTGAGAAAGGTATAATTAACTTGACACATTGTGAGTAATGGAAAACAAAGTAATTTATTTGTTCCACTTCTATTATTTCAAAAAACCATTCATTTTTCTAGGAAGTTTGTGACTTTTTCTACAGAATAAAACATTAGTTCAGAGATGTTCATATTTTTCAATAAGACATCTGTACTTCTGAAATTTTTTCATTAAACCTCTGCTTTTATTTTTTATTTATTTTTAAAATTTTATGTATATTTTTTCAATTATAGTTGACATACAATATTATATTACTTTCAGGTGTACAACACAGTGATTAGACATTTATATACCTTATGAAGTGATCACCCCGATATCCAGTACCCAACTGACACCATACATATTTATTACAATGCTGTTGACTATATTCCCCATGCTATACACTGTATCCCCATGAATATTTTTAACTACCAATTTATACCTCTTAATCCCTTCCCCTCTTCAACCATCCCCCACCCTCCATCTGATAATTATCAAAATGCTCTCTTTCATTCTTTTTTATGACTCATTTTGGCTGCCTACTTGTGTTTATTTCTATTTATTGAGTAGGGCTGCTGCGTCTCCCAGTCTGAGTAGAGTGATCTTACATAGTAAGTGTGCTGTGAGGCCTAGTGGTTCAGTCTCCCTGGTCATCTGAGCTGGGTGCTCCAGTTGTGGACCTTGTGTGGGTCGTGTTTGCCTTCCTATTGTAGGTGAGCCTTGGTTGCTGTTTGCCCATGAATGGGATTGCCTTTTTTGGGATATCCACACCCAAGTTATTTCTCCAGATTCTCAACCCCCACACATAGGTGTGGGACCAGCCAATTTTGCATCTCCGCTCTCCCAATAGTCTTGAGGTGACCTCTTCTGTGTGTCTCCAGTTGTAGGATTTCTGTTCAGCTAGACTTCAGGCAACTCCCAATGGTGGCTGTTCCATAATTCAGTTGTAATTTTGATGTGGTTGTGAGAGGAGGCAGGCACAGCATTTACCTACTCTACCATCTTGACTAGAACTTGATTTTTAAAACTCTGTTTTTAAAACATGCTTCAGAATGGAAGCCTTAATTTTTTTTTTCCAGGAGCTAAAGACAACTAAAAGATTATAATGTAACTAATCTTTAATCATAAGATAATGGTAAATTTGTTGAAAACATAGCACAATCATACTTACAGGATTAATAAATTAATGTGCTCTATTTGGGGCATTGTAATGTGATGAAGGTTTGGCTGTATAGTTTTAAAATACACTTAATGTACCTCATAGTACTAATTTTATTTTAATTCTTAAAGAGAAAACATTGATTCTCCCCTTTCCCCCATTTAATTTAAATAGCAGCAAAGGTAATTGCATTCGGTAGTAGTAAAGGCCAGAAGTAGTAATGGAAGAAAGCACATTTATGAAAGAATTTTAAATCACACATTTTAAAAACTAAATACTATTGCTTGAGTGGTATTTCACCAAAGCCAAGATTGCATAACAAATGAGTTGAAATGGAAAATGCAAAATAAAGACAAAATAAAGAAAAGAAACAAAGGAATGTTGGTTCCAATTTTTTCATGTAATATGTAACTGTTCGTTTGTCATGGGAGAGAAAGTATTTAATCAGTCCTGAAATGATGCACACATACTTTATCATGTTTAGTGACTTTTAGAGTATCAGTTTATAAAGTGTTTATCCAAAGAATGGACTTCTGGCACATGGATAAAATGAAAGCACAATGTTTAGTTCATAATAGACATATTTTCCAGAAACTCTCTGAGTAACTATCCGGAGATGAATAGAAAGACGGCAGGTCTGTGTTTATCTGGCTTATGCTGGCAGAGCAGACAGGCTCCAGGCCGGCATTAAAACTAAAGTGACATGGAAGATCTTTGCAGAACCCCAAACCATTACGTCATTCTCTTAGCAATATTGATAAAGGAAAATAAAGTTGGAGTTTGTTATTTTACAACTTGGATTTCTTAGTAAACTACTTTAAATCCCTCCCCAGAATAGTTACCATCTGGAAGCCTGGAGGAGGGAGGCTTCCTAGGGTCACGTGGAAGCTGCATTTCACACCCTTCACTTTCAGGCCATGTAGCACATTTTAGATACAACACTTTTCTTTGTACAAAGGGATTTTTTTTTCCCTGTAGCTGCATTATTTAAATTTTTGTAAAATCCATTGACTTTCAACTATCAAAGGGATCCGTCGACACCCTTTGAAAGTTTGCTGGCCTTTGTCAGTTATAAAAGATCTTCTGAAGTGGTGGTCTCTCCTGAAATTTTTTATTTATTAGCTTTTGTGTATTCTGAATAGAAGGACTTCAGTACCTTCTGCTTAAGAGAATTTGGAATGTTTGTCTTCAGTTTTGGTTAGTAATTATAAAGAGAAAAAATACATCAAAGAATTTTTGCCCTTTTGCAAAGTTTGTTTTAAAAATGGAAACATGTTACTGTTGTATACAATCTTTCAGTGATCCAGGATCCACGGATCCTCCCCAAATAACGTCAGCCCATCTTGGTAAGGCCAAAGTCACACCCTAACTCTTGGGCAGGCAGTCTCCTAAGGGGAAACGTTAGCATATTTGCAATGAAAATGTGTTTTAATCCCTCCGGTAACACTGTGGTGTGGGAATTTGCATGTATACTGATTTTTGAAGAAGTAAAAATATTATTGGCATATAAAATCATAGATTAGTATGAATAGATACAAAAACAAATTTTACATGCTACTTCCAGAAAATTGCCGACACTTATCATGTATTATTTAATCCATAAAATAGTTCCCAAAGTGATTGGGGATTATTTTTATACATTATGAAAATGTATCCTTACAAAATAATTCATAAAATCTTTTTTGTTTTTGTTTGTAGTCTTACATTGCTTAGCAATAAAATCACATTTCTGGAGGAAAATGAATAAATTGATCAAAATTCTT